TCAAATATTTTCTTATGGTTGACTTCGACCTTCATAACATTGTGGTCTGAAAATATGCATGGTATGATTCTGATCTTTTTGTATTTGTTGAAGGTTGATTTGTGGCCCATATGTGATCCATTCTGGGGAATGATCCATGTGCACTTGAAAATAATCTGTTTTCTGCTTCTTTAGGATGAAATGTTTTGAATATATCTGCTAGTTCATCTGGTCTAGTTTATCATTCAAATCCATTGTTTCCTTGTTGATTTTCTGCTTAGACGATCTGTCCATCACTGTGAGTGGGTTGTTAAAGCCTCCTACTATTACTGATTACTGTAAATAATTTTCTTTATGCTTGTTCTTATTACTAATTGATATATATATTTGTCTTCTCCCATGTTGGGGGTATAACTATTTACAGTTGTTAGATCTTGATGGATAAACCCCTTAATTTTGATATAGTGTCCTTCTTCATTTTTTGTTACAGACTTTGTTTTAAAATCTAGTTTTTCTGATATGTCTTCTCCACCTTTCTTTTGATGTCCTTTAGCATGACAGATGGCTCTCCATCTCCTCACCTTCAAGCTGCAGATGTCTTTAGCTCTTAAATGAATCTTTTGTAGGCAGTGTCTAGATGGGTCTCTTTTCTTTATGCATTCTGTTACCATATGTCCTTTGATTGAAACATCTAGTCTACTTACATTCAGGATGATTATCAATATATATGAGTTTAGTGCCATTGTGTTACCTATAAATTTGGTGCTTCTGGTGATGTGCTGTTACTTTCAAGTCTTTGTTGCTTTTGATCTTTCTTTGCCATTCAAAGCCTCCCCTTTAATATTTCTTGCACAACTGGTTTAGTGGTCACACGTTCCTTTCGTTTTTGTTGCCCGGGGAATTCTTTATCTCTCCTCTATTCTGAATGATAGTCTTGTTGCGTAAAATATTCTTGATTGCATATTTTTCCCATTCAGCACATTGAATATATTATACTGTCTTCTGGCCTGCCACGTGTCTGTCTGTGGACAGATCTGTTGTTAAACTTATTTATCCTCCCTTGTAGGTTAAGGACCTTTTTTTTTCCTCCCTTGCTGTTTTCAGGACATTTTCCTTGTCTATGTACTTTGTAAATTTGACTAGGATCTGTCTTGGCGTGGGCTGGCTTTTGTTGAATGTGATATGAGTTCTCCGTGCCTCTTGGATTTTGATGTCTGTTTCCTTTCTCAGATTCAGGAGTTTTTCAGCTATAATTTGCTTAAATAAACCTCTTATCCTCTTTTTTTTTCCCCTCCTCTTTTGGGACTCCTACGATATGAATGTTATTACATTTTAATACGTAGCTGAGTTCCCTAAGTCTACCTTCATGTTCCATTATCTTTATTTCCCTCTTCCTTTAAGCTTCATTATTTTGTATAATTTTATCTTCTATATCACTGATTTGCTCCTCTACTTTGTCCATCTTCATTGTGTTTGCATCCAGTCAGCTTTACTTCTCAGTTATAGCATTTTTTTATTTCAGCCTGACTAGATTTCAGTTCTTTTAGCTCTGCAGGAAGGGATTCTTTGGTGTTTTCTATGGTTTTCTCAAGTCCAGCTAGTATCCTTATGATTGTTGTTTTATAAATTCTGGTTCCAGCATCTTATTTATATCTGTTTTGTCTAAGTCCCTGACCATTATTTCTTCCCGTTCTTTTTTGGGGGATGAATTCTTCCACCTTGTCATTTTGTCTGAGTCACTCTGTGTGTGTGTGTGTGTGTGTGTGTGTGTGTGTGTGTGTGTGATTGTTGGAAAAGCCTGTTATATCCCTGCTTCTGAGACAAATGGTTATATTTAGGAGAGGTCTTATATTGTCCTGCCCTGATGCTTGATGATGTGTTTCAGCGTGTGCACTCTGCTTTTGTGTTTTGTTTACTCCTTCCCTCAGGTTAGTCTTCTGCAGAGTTTCTCCTTGCTTGCAGTGGGGAGTGTTTAGACCTTTTCCACTGTTTGGTAAGTTTTACTTAGGTGTGTTTTAGTCTGCTTCTTAAAAGAAGTTTGATCCTGGGGCCCCTGGGTGGCTCAGTCAGTTAATTGTCTGCCTTAGGCTCAGATCATGATCCATCGGTCCTGGGATCAAGCCCCGTATTGGGTTCTCTGCTCAGTGGGGAGCCTGTTTCTCCTTCTCCCTCTGCCTGTCACTCTGCCTGCTTATGTGCATGCTCTCTCTCTGTGTGTCAAATAAATAAATAATAAATAAAATCTTTAAAAAATTAAGTAGAAAGAAGCTTGATCCTATTTCCCCTGGAGCTGAAGCTTTGCAGCAGTCTACCATCCATAGATCTGGTTTGTACAAGGGGTTTGTGTTGGGCTTCTGGGGGAGGGTCCTGCTGTGCTGATTTCTCAGGTGGACTTGCTTTAGTGGAGATACACCCACAAAGGGTGGGTCATTTATGCAAGCTGTTCTAGCCTCCAATGGGGGTGCTGTGTTGCTCACTGAAGTTGGTTTGCACTGATGGGGAGGAGGGGAATGCATTGTCTTGTTCTCTCAGTCTTATAGTGGGGAATTCACTCCTGCCACTCTTCATGAATTCCTCACAGAAGAGCAAACTCCCCTCTAGTTTCCCTAGCTTCCATCAGATCCATGCCTTCACCCTGTGTCCAAGCTCCCTGTCTTCCAGGCTGCACAGTACCTTTGTGTTTTGTCTCAGGCCCATGGCTGGGTTTCAAAACTCCAAATTTTAGGCACCTGCATGGCACAGACCCACACTGATCTTTTAGGAGAGGATCTTTCCACACTGTGTCTGGTGCTGGTCTGTCCCAGAAAAGCAGTCACATGACCATGCAGTGGTTCTGAATTTATAGTATATTGCAGCAAAAGTGGCGACATCAAGATTTGCTGCTATCAGCAGGGGTATCTGTTCCTCTGGTAGTGAGCAGAGCAGTACATGGGCTCCTGCCAGATCTTTTGTCCTCAGAAAGGCCATGCCAACGCTCCCACATGAACTCCAGGAAGGGGAACTGTTCCTCCTGTGGGACCCAGAGGATCCTGAGACTACATTGCCTGCTCCTGGGCCTCAGCCTTCCTTCCCCACAGGTACACTGCTAAGCCTACCAGGCACAACACTGACAAATTTGTAGACTTGTAAAACTTCAGACTTTGAGCTCTGCTGGGTTATAAACTTGCAGTAAGTAGTCTCCCCCACTCCTTTTCCCAGTCAATGGTTTTGGGAAAGTTTTTCTTGACCAATCCCCTGTATGCTTTCATTCTCTCTTTCTCACTCCTCTCTCTGTGATCAGGATTCCCTCCTCTCCACAGCACCCACATTATTTTATCAAATGAACTCTCCACAGCTCCTTTAACAATGTGACCATTGTTCTACCTGTAGATATGCAGTTTGTTCTGTCACTTCTCAGACTGATTTCTTGAGTGTTCAGAATAATTTGATATTTATCTAGCTGTGTTTGAGGGATGAAGCAAGCTTAGGGCCCCCCTACTCCTCCATCATCTTAACTCTGAGGTCAAAAATGTCATTTGCTTTTGATGGATTTTTGACATTGTTAACTCATTTGATAGTAAAAGAATTTCAGCGCAGTTAACATACAGTGCTGTATTAGCTTTAGGTGTACAATGTAGCAATTCAACAATTTCATATATTTCTCAGTGCTCATCAAAACAAGTGTGAAAGATGCTTTTTAACACTATAATCCATAAGTATGTATATGTAGCATGTTGATCCTTATATTTTGAAATAATCTATTTATATAAAACAGAAAATATGTTTTGAATTTTCAGAATTTCACAGTAGCAATATTATATTATTATTATATTATTATAATAAGATATTATAGTGTCTTATTCCATCTTGTGAAAATTTGGATTGAAATGAAAAATAAACTATTAAATACAAACTATAGAATGCTTCATTGGAAGGGCACCTGGGTGGCCCAGTTAGTTAACTGTCTACCTTCAGCTTAGGTCATGATCCCAGGGCCCTGGTATGGAGCCAGGCATCTTGCTCCCTGCTCAGTAGGAACTCTCCTTTTCCCTCTCCCTCAGCCTCTCCCACTTCTTGTGCTCTCTCTCTCTTTCTGTCTCTCAAATAAATAAAAACATAAACAAATAAACAAAATCTTAAAGAAAAAGAATGCTTCATTGGAGACAATGTAAACTTGAAGGATGACAAGTGGTTTTTTTGACATTGTTTTCAATACTCCACTGTGATTATACTTTTTTTTTTAAAAGATTTTATTTATTTGACAGAGAAAGAGATCACAAGTAGGCAGGGAGGAAAGCAGAGAGAGGGGGGAAAGTAGGCTCCCTGCTGAGCAGAGAGCCCTATGTGGGACTCAATCCCAGGACCCTGAGTCCATGACATGAGCCAAAGGCAGACGCTTAACCCACTGAGCCACCAGGCGCCCCTCCACTGTGATTATTCTGAGCACGTAATAAAACTATAAAATTGTATTAAACAATTGAATTAAATGTTAATTTCTTTCCCTTATTGAATATCTGTGTCATGAATAGCAATGTTTTAAAAAGTATAAGGGAGGTATTATAAGACTCTGAACTGCTGGAGGAATGATTCACTCTTCATGTTGGTAGTATTATGTCTTACATTCCCATTTATAATATCAAAATAATTCACCATGATTAATGTTAGGATAGTAAGCCAACGAAAGCAATAGTGATTTGCTACATTATTTGTTATTATCATTTAAGAATATTTCAATTTGGTACTATTACTTTTCTCATAATTTAAATGAACTGAAATACAATTTTTGAATGAGTAAGTATAAAGAAATGTCCACATAGAATATTGCAAGTAGTATAATCAACTTTTAATAAAGCTCAGGAAAAGATAGTCACCAAACATTTTTTAGCATTTTCCAGAATCTATTACAAGGCATCCTGTTTTCTCTAGAGTTCTCCATGGCCTATTTTTGAAGACAAAACAAAGGAATAGCTCTTTGTGCTAGTCTAGTGTGTGTAGCAAAATTTAGAATTTTAAAAAGGAAATTTAGAAATTGCATTCAAATTATTTTTTCTTTTTTTTAAATTTTCTTCTTTCACACCTTTTAAAACATGTATTACTCATTTAAAATTACTCTTATACTATTTAGAAACTCTAGGAACACATAAATTATGTTTCTAAAAAGACTGAATTTATTTTAAAGCATTGTGTCAAGTTTGAATTTCAGTAAACAAAGCTATATCTTCATTATATGTTGATTTTGGCAAAGAGCACAGACTTGAATATATCAAATGATATGATAAAGTAATTTAAATTAAAAGGGTTTTTTAAAAATTTTAGTATGGAATTAAAGTATAATATGTATATCTTCTGGGTAAGTAATTTAAGCCATAATGTTTCTTGTTTTCTTAGAAGTTTTCATGATTAAAATTTTAAAAATGGAAATTTTTAATCTAATACTTGTGCTATTCACTGGAATAGAAGCATAGAAAATATTCTCTCTGCTTAGTTTAATAATTTCATGCAATATATGCCTAAACTGAAAAAACATATCAAATATCTAAGAAGTAGTGGCATTTGTGATCACAAGTTATTTTAAAAGGGGGAAATGTTAAGAATTTTTTAGCAAAGATCCTACAAAAACCAGTCTTGGGCACTGAATGCTGTGACCTATCTTATAGTAGTTAATTAAAATTCTGAGCTCTTTGCAAAAGGTTGCCTTTTTAAACTTGCATGCTATCATACATTCCTAACATATATACACATGTTTCACTGGGCAAGCAACTTAGAAACATGATCACATTACAGCTGTGCAGTTAAGCAGGGAACTTGTTAACTGAATGCATCTATTTTTTGTAGGAGGTCATCTGTTCTAATCACTGAAATATACAATGAAAGGCTACATTTAGAAGCCTAGAAAACCTGTGGTTTACTACATACAGTTTCAATTACAAAATAATAGGAATGTTATAATTACCATAAGAAATTACAATGTCTAACATATCATAAATATTACCTGCAGCTACCTTTCAATCACAAAAGCATCACATCAAAAGGGTACATATTTTTATTAACTAAAATTAATGAGGCAATTTGGGAACAAGAGATGGATTCTTTCTTTCACTCTGTATTTTAAATTCCTCAACATAAAGCTTCAGAAATACTTAAGCTGCAATAATAATACCACAAAAAAGGACAGGTCTTCGCTTTTTAAAGTAACTGAAGTACATAAAATGCCTTGGAAGATAACAATACTATCCCATGACATCTAAAATTTTTATGCACACTTCCCATTATCCTCATCATAATATTCATATTTTAGTTATGTATTCGTTATGATTGTTTGCATGTGAAAAACCAACTAATCTATTATCTCAACATTAAGCTGATTTCTCCTGAAGCCAAGATGATTTTAAAAGCAATAGAGACTCCTTTTTCAGGATGCTTAAGGCCAAATGTTTAAGGTTCATGCTTGCTGCTTTGCCTGAGCTTCTGCTTCCTGAAATGAAAAACAAACAAAACAGATATATTTAAATATCACAGAGTGGACATCTATGTACATTTTGGATAAATTATATTAACTCAAATTATTAAGAATATTCAAAAGCTGGGGTGCCTGGGTGGCTCAGTCTGTTGAGCATCTGACTCTTGGCTTCTGCTCAGGTCATGGCCTCAGGGTCCTGGGATCTAGCAAGTCCTCTGGCTGGCTCTGCTTTCAGTGGAAAGTCTGTTTCTTTCCCTCCACCCCCTCATGTGTGCTCTTTCTCTCTCTCTCTCAAACATAAATAGATTTTTTAAAACAGAATATATTTTTTGAGGTTATATTAGATTATATATTTCAGTGAGTTGCCTTGTTCACATAATAAAAAATAGGAATCATCTTTTCATGACAGAGGAGATTATATATATATATATATATATATATATATATATATATATATCACCCACCACCAGGGTCACCTATCAAAACAGAATATTCAAAAACAAAAACAAAAAACAAAAACAAAAATGGCTTCTGGAGAAGACTGCCTTGCCTAAAAATTCTTAGTAGAAAAATTATAAAGGGTGCCTGGGTGGCTCAGTTGTCTGCCTTTGGCTCATGTCATGGTCCCACGGTCCTGGGATCCAGGCCTGCATCAGGTTCCCTGCCCAATGGGGACTCTGGTTCTCTCTCTCCCTCTCCCTTTGTGTGTATGCTCTCTCTCTAGCTCTCTCTCAAATAAATAAAAATCTTTAAAAAAGGAAAAACCATAAAGTAGAAATTTCTGCTTAGAAGCAGCTATAATAGAGGACTGCCTAATCATTACTAATTGTTTGAAATAATTCCATAAAGGTAAGTGATTTACAAGTATAGTTCATATTTTATTTGGAAGTAGATGATTTCTTTTCTGTATGATTTTTCACCAAAATTGGCTGTTCAAAAACATTATCACCTAAGGTTTACAGTAAATTGTTTTGTTCAATTAAGGTTGAAATTACTTGGAAAATATACTATTTGTTAAAATATTGTTGCTTTTAAATTTTACAGCTGTAGGCAGGAAAAGAGGTCAAGTTGTTATTCTTCTCCTCTGGGCAATGAGTATCTCTAGCATAGGCACTCTGACCTATTGATGTGCTTGACACAAAATACACTGCAGGAAAAGTTTGTGGAACTAAAGATGGGTGGTAAAAGTGACTTTGGTGAAAGATACTTCAGAGTTAGATTGTAGAAATCATGTATACTAGACAATATCATTCTAAACATGTGCCATAAGTTGAATACTTGATAGTCTCAGGAGGAGTGGGGACGGTTGAATACTCCAAAATGGGCATCTGATACTATGCCCAGAAAAAGGGGAAAAAGAAAAAAAAATGTGCTAGATTTTTACAAAACAAAAATGGAGAAATGAAAGAAAGAAGGACACGAGAGAAGACACTGAAATTAATGTTTAATACATCTTTACAAAACAGATAAAAAGTACTACTAACTCACCTTCCAAGACCCTTTAAAAAAAAAAAAAAGCAGCCCTAAGCTCTTTTAAAACGTCAAACTCTGTGTTTGGTTGTCAAAATGAATATATCTTAGACCCACATTATACATTTTGTTTCATTTTATGAAATTAAATTCCAAGAATTTCCTCCTACAGAGAATGAATTTTACACCAAGATCCCTCAAAGTCCTAGCACATATAGTTAGGGAAGTAGTTATATAAAAATGTAAATATGTTCTAATGTGAAATCCTTTTTCTTTTACACATCCAATGCCCCTGAGTAACTAGTATTTTGGAAACAGCCTAATTCCCTAAAATCACATCCTATCAATCTTTGCTGTAATTTGTCATAAATACTTTAGTTCTCAGTTATCCCTTTTAATGGAAGAAATTATTAGCACAAACATCCAAAACAAAAAGACAATTCAAAGTTCTTTATGGTTTACCTTTTTAATACATCATCTTTAAATTATTTCGTTTTCTTTTTTTTTTAAGATTTTTTAAAATTTATTATTTGACAGAGATCACAAGTAGGCAGAAAGAGAGGAGGAAGCAGGCTCCCTGCTGAGCAGAGACCCTGATGCAGGGTTCAATCCCAGGACCCTGGGATCATGACCCGAACTGAAGGCAGAGGTTTTAACCCACTGAGCCACCCAGACACCCCTATTTAGTTTTCTAATTACATTTTATACACCATTTATGTAATTGGGCTGAAATATTTGTTACTACACAGATGTAAGTAGACAATATTTATAGTTCATGGATTATGTAACCAACCAGAGAGATTGGAAACAGAGATATGAGGCATCCTCCTCCTCTATTCTTAATATAAACATCATTCTATAAATGCACTGATTTTGAGTCAGATAATCCTGGGTTCAAATTCCAGCTCTGCTACTCAATTATTATGTAACCTTGAACAAATTATTTAAATTATCTGAACATCAATTTCCTCTACTGTAAAATGCCATTGAGGACACCAAGCTCATAAGTATGATATAAGGATAAAACAAGATGTATGTGAAGTGTCTAGCTCAGTGCTTGGCCCATTGCAGACATCCATCCTTCTTTCCTGCTTTTCTCCACTCCACTTCTTGCCTAATAACTAGCACCAACACCACAGCTAAGTGATATTAATATAAAATTTCTCCTGGAGATGTAGTACAATAGGATGGGCTTAGTGGAAATAGGAATGCTTCAAATCTCACAGCAGAGGGAGATTTCATTGCTCCTCCCTAAAGCAGGGTGGTTCAACCAAAGCTAAGGAGAACATTTCTCTAACCAGTGTTCTCTACTCCATCAACATAACAACAGTTAATGATTTTTCTCTCAACATGACATCACCAAATTTTTACCTTTTAGTATAAATACAATATTTTCTTTCATATCTGAAAATAATCACCTCCACTATAAAGAAATGTTGGTGCTAGGGAATAAACTTTTGTATTAATAAAAAAATAAAATAACCCGACCACCCTCTCCATACCCCTCCACCCGCCCCAGCAACCCTCAGTTTGTTTTGTGAGATTAAGAGTCTCTTATGGTTTGTCTCCCTCCCAATCCCATCTTGTTTCATTTTGTCCTTCCCTAACCCCCAAACCCCTAACTCTGCCTCTCAAATTCCTCTTATCAGGGAGATCATATGATAATTGTCTTTCTCTGATTGACTTATTTCACTCAGCTCTAGTACCATCCATGTTGTTGCAAATGGCAAGATTTCACTTCTTTTAATGGCTGCATAATATTCCATTGTATACATATACCACATCTTCTTTACCCATTCATCTGTTGATGGACATCTAGGTTCTTTCCATAGCTTGGCTATTGTGGACATTGCTGCTATAAACATTCAGGTGCACGTGCCCCTTCAGATCACTACCTTTGTATCTTTAGGGTAAATACCCAGTAGTGCAATTGCTGGGTCATATGGTAACTCTATTTTCAACTTTTTATAAACTAATTTTTAAATTTTTTATTTCTTTAAATATTTTTAAATGATTTTGTTTATGTATTTGACACATAGAGAAAGAAAGAGAGAAAGAGAGCACAAGCAGGGAGAGCTGCAGGCAGAGGGAGAGGGAGAAGCAGGATCTCTGTTAGGCAAGGAGCCCAATGTGGGGCTTGATCCCAGGACCCTGAGATCATGACCTGAGCTGAAGGCAGTTGCTTAACTGACTGAGCCACCCAGGCATGCCTACAAACACATTTTTTACTGAAAGCACTAGTTCATTCAGTAAATAAACGGTTTTTGTTGACCCTATATTTGGATGTTTAACTTTGTTTTCAAAGTTTCAAGATTACATAATGGGTTGGCCTATCTCTAATATCTAATTTCTCCCATTTTTTACAATTTATACAACTGCCAATTTTCTTAAGACATAGATCAAATCACATCTTAAAAATGCAGAGATAAACAAATCACATCTTAAAAATGCAGAGATAAACTTATCATTGTCTTCCCCCATTTCCTGCCATGGCTTTTAGATACCTAGAGGATAAAGATAAAGTACCTAACACAGCATTTATAATTTAGTCCAAACTTACCTAGCCAATCTCACATCCTCTATTTAATATGCCCTATTCTGGAGACACACTGCACTACACTCTGCTCCCTGAACATACCATCATTTGAAGTTTCATCCCAATGCAGTGGTTCCTATTGCTGCCTCTGTGAAAGACATCTTTGTGTCATTTCAGTATTTTTGAATCCTAACAGCTCAACTGTCATTTCCTTTGTGAAACTTTCCCCAAATTCCTTAGTAATAATTTATTATTATTTCCTCTGGTCACCTACACTTTATTAAGGGTATACAGAATTTACCATAATATGTGTTGGATTATAATTATTTGCAGACATTTTTGTTGTAGAATTATTGTATACTTTTCCTTCATTAGGTTAAATACACTTTGAAGGTAGTGACCATGCTTCATTCTCTGTATTTGTTCCACCATTAATGTCAAGTTAGTGCTTGGCAGTCAATACTTGCTGAAAGAATAAGTAAATGAATTACTCATAATTTTAATTGAAGGAGAGGGAGTAATGAGTCACAGAAAACAGATGATCTCTCATACTTCCTCTTAACTGCACTGAAATCAATGATTTAAATTGGATTTTCCTAACTTGATTAAACAAAAATATTTTACCTAACATTTCTCACAACTCAAATTATACAAAGCCTAAAATAAGACATTTTATCCATGGGAAAAGAAATTTCAGCAAGGAATCAGAATTTCACAGTAACTCAGAAAGCAATGCTAGTAAATGTTCTCTGCTGAAAACATGAGCAATAACAGACTCTCAAAATTGAAGGAGCTGGAGTTCAAAGAATCTGTTTAACATAAAATTAGTTGCTAAGAACAAAACATAAACTGATAGAACAGGGACATACATTCTGGTTAAGCCAGCCTGTATAGAAAAGACCTACGGTGAAAGGCAAAGAAATATTTAATGCCCATAGCTTTAAGACATTTTATTTAATAGGCAATCTAATTTTTTTTATTCTTTTCTTTATATGGTCTCCCATGGAAACATTACCACTTGAAAAATTAATTTGTTGTTGGCAGGGAGAAAGCCCCAAATTTAGCCAGCAATTTAGTGACCAATTTTGAAACTCAAATGCTTTTAGTTAAAGCATTTGCTTTCACACAAAGACAATAGATGCTGCCAAGAAGATTACTATGAACTAAGATCAGTTCTGCTGATGTAAAACCATGCATGACAGCTGAAATAATGGAGTCTTTAAAATTGGTAGTCACTTATGAATGGGTCAATGATAAATTTGCTGCTTTGGATAACCCAATGAGGAAATCACTCCACCTACCTCCTACTCATATACTTTACATATTTGATTATGCACATCTGTTTGCCATACCTGGGATTAAATGCATGCAGAGAAGGAATATTTCCTTTCAGCCATGTTACACTGCTTCTAGCTTAACCTGAATACTTAATAAAGGTAGAACTCTCACTGACTAAAAAACCCAGCAGCAATAAAATGGCTTATAAAGGAGGGGAAAAAAAAAGAATCATACCTTTGAACCAGGTGGGGCTGTCAATCCTAAAAAGGCATACACTGCATTATTTTCTCTGGCTTCAAAGAAGGCATCATAGTCCTTAATGAAAAGAAGGCAAGAAGAATTAGCAATATACAATCAACAAAGGAAATAAAAGAATAAATTTATTCAAAATGAACTCATTGGTCAACCTTTTGGGTGGAGCATACAGACTACCTAACTCCCAAAATGCTAGAATTTTAGAAAGAGAAGTGAAAACGCAAGGCATATTAGATCCCATTTAATGTGGGTTAGAATATGTGCTGTTCTGCTGGGCAGAAACTGCAAAATGGCTTATTCCGCATCATATAGCATCTGTCTGAGGCCAAGTAGCTTTCTCCACAGCCCAAAGCAACCACAATTTACCAGTAAGAGGTTGGTTATTTTTGGTAGGGGGGTGTTGTTCCTGCTTTGCATTATTTCCCTTTCATTATTGATTAAGGTAGAGATATCCTCAGAACCTACAGTATACCAGATGTTAGCTAGGCCATGAGAGTAATAAACCTATGCTGTCTTTGGAGGAAAGGAATGAGATTTTCATGAAATATGACCAGAAGAGCAAACAAACCAGTAAGATGTTTCAATTCAGGGATCCAAGAAAAAACCCACATGACTGAATTTGGTTGGGCTTCCCACTGTCATCCTCTAAGTCACCAAGCATGCTTTAGAAGTAACACAGAGAATTGCCTAAATTTAACTATAAAATGTAATCAATAGCAAATCTACTTACAAAACACAGCCATTGCCTATAGCTGGCCTTACTTTGTTTAATTTAAAACACGTAGAATCAAGTTTGACATTTTGGCTAATTTATTGGAAGTAAAAAGCACTCATAATTTGCTGGTTTCTCTAGAGATTCCCTCACCAATAAATCATCGATTACAGGGTTACATCCTGGCACTTGGAGGATCTGGAGATACAAAGTTTAGATATATGCAGTATTTCTGGTACTTGGAGGATTTCTCAAGCCACTGATGACCCTAAATTGGAACCTCACCCCAAGAAACATCAGTTTCTCTCTTATTTAGGGATTATTTTAACAAAGTCAGAATTGTTCAGAGCTACTTGAATCTCCCAAGAATTGATTCAAAGCATCTTACTGTGTTCCCTCCATGTTGGCAAAGGAATAAACCCTAAACAGCAGACATTTATGAACAGCCTCCTATGAGCTTACTCTTCAAAAAGTGAAACTAATTGGATCTTGATAATAATTTCATACTGAGACACATGAGACATATAAACTACTCAAAGTAAACAGACAATATACATCATTTCTACACTCAACCACTTGAAAGGAACCTCAAAATGCTAGTTGTAAAAGTTCAACATTCACAGAAGAGGTATTTCTTACCGCTTGTTCAAAGTAACAGAAATAACTCATGCCAGTCTTTAAATTCATGTGAAAGAAAGGAGGTTTCAACTATACTGAAATCTGATCATTAAGTGCTACTCTAGTTGTCTGTTTCAAGTGTTTTGGGTCAATGTATATTATCATTTTTTGGCCCTGGATTTAGGTTTGTAACTCTGAGAGAAAAGAACATAACCCATTCCTCAATTAAGCCAGATTAATTAATTTATTCTGCAAATGTGTACTGAGAACCTACTACATAGCAATCATTTTTGGTGCTAAGAATACAAGATAAACAAAACATGAAGATCTTCGTATCTATACATGGCTCAATCCTAGGGAATGCAAATTTAAAATATTTATAAGGAGTATACAAAACCAATAGTGACATAGTCTGCTTCTTCTATAGGAATTCACTTGAGGAAAAAATAAAAGATACTTTGTTTACACCCCTGGGATTTCAATAAGATTAATACATAATGTATTCTACCATATATTGGTATCATATTAGTTACTAATCATGAAAAAATGCTCCAGTTCTTCATATACATATCAGAAGCTTTTTCAGAACCAAGATTAGCCTTATAAATGTTGTACCTACTATAACAGAACTTCATCTATGTAGTGGATTGGTTATTTCCAGTCTGGAAATAAGAACCTAAGCCATAGTTCAGTGGAAGGATGTAGTCCTCCACCCTACACCCTGGGACATCTGGCAAAGTCTGGAGATACTTTTGGTTTTTCACAACTGTGAGGGTGTTACTGGTGCTCGTAGATGGAAGCTGGGATGCTGCTAAATGTCCTACAATTCACAGGGTAGCCCCCAACAACAAGAATTATCCAACCCAATATGTCAGTTGTGCCAAGGTTGAGAGACCTTGAGATGTTTTAAACAAGGGAATTTGATGTGAAGAATTTATTTACCAAGGAACTGATGAAAGGCAAATAAGAAATAGCAAGGCAACCACCAAGATTAGCAACAGCAAGAAGATGTTACTACAGTTATAGGGCTAAAGGAAGAATTGCAGAAGATGACATTACAGGAACCAGGAGCTGGGATACCTGGTACCACAAAGGAGACACAGCCACTGCCATGGCCACCTCCAGAAGCAGGAAGGAAGTAAATACCTTGGCTTTTCCTCTCTTCTGTCCTCCATTCTTCCAACCAATTCTCCTGTTAATTGGCCAAACCTAATAGGTAGCCAGTCAGCAATAGAGACTGGGAAATATAATTTACTGAGATCAGCACCCCCCCACACCATAATACAGAATGTAGAAAGAAAAGAATGAAAATGAGATCTTTGTATAAATAGAGAAATGACATATACAGTAGTTTAACAGAAAAAGTAAGAGCTTGAGAATAAAACAGATTTAGCTAGTCAGTTAACCTTCTTCTAGGCCTCAATTTTTTCATCCATAATACAGGAATAACAACACCTACCTCATGGGATTAGTATGGGAACTAACTAATAAAATACACATAAAGTATGTAGTATAATAACTGACATATCATACGCTTTCTATGATGGTTATTATATACCCTTCTCTCTAAGAGTCTGTATAGGGAAAAACCTTAATTTTTTTTTGTTTTTAAACTGTTAACTTAGTGCTTGATACACAGAAGGCATTTGATAAAAATCGGATTCTTCTTCCATTAACAAATATTTATTTGGTTGAGTCTCATCTCCTGCCCCTTCCTTTCCAGCTCCCTATTTCTCAGGGATATCTGATTTGTATAATACACTCCATTTCCTTACAGTGTGGCTTCTGAAGGAGAAATAAACCAGGTCAATGGGTTTCTGAAATGTTACCCTTATAACCTAAAATGTGTTTGTTTTTAAAGCTGAATGAATTAAAATTTCTACTTCAAAAAAAAGTTAAGAATATATGCTGACTTATATTGGACTGGATGGCCTCTGAGGCCTCTTCCAGCTCCTGGGATACAGCATTTACAAAAATTTCAATTATAGAGGCATTGAGGTTTCACTATCTAAATGAATAGCCTAATTGCCTTTTTCTTATCTGCAGAGTACATCATTACACATTGGTACTGTTAGTAACAACAGATGAAATCTTCAGGACCCTCCTTGGAACTAAAAAAAAATTCAATTCACAGAGAAAATATTTTGTGTCAATAAAATTCTCATTTTTCCCATGCTCCCTCCCCTTAATTTTCAGAATTGGCACACATAAAAAGATCCCCACCAAAGGTATCCTTTTACTTCCATGGAAACCTATAAACTAGAATATTTGGATTGCTGGCTCTAATACATTTATTCTCCAGTCATGCTAATTCTGAGGACATAGCAATGCAAACAGTTCTTTACTGGAAATTCCTGTAAGCCTTACAAATGCTTTTTGTATTGTCTCACCACATAGCTATGGATTCATAACCACACTCCAACTGTTTGAGGTGTGTGTGATTTTTCCAAACCTCACTTCCAACCAGCTCCTTAAGAGAAAAAAAAAATTATTTATACTTGTACTTGCCATGGGACCCAGAAAGGCCATAAGCTGTTGAATGTAAAGTGTTAAATGTTAAATATACAGTGACAGAAGATTAAAGGAAACTACTCTATGGCTTAAATAAAGACTAAAGATGGCATACTTGAAAGCACCAGTCACAAAGCAAAAGCCCATTTTTGTTTCCCTTTTTCCTCAATGAGTTTAACTACCTAACATAACATTTTCTAAAACTTCATTAACAATACCAAAATAAAAGTATTACTGGCTTCAAGTAGGAAGTAAGATATTACTCTTTTTAAGTTATTTTTAATCCAAATAAGCAGCTGACTTCTCAGAAGCTTCTTCATGGACATAGCAGAAACAACACGATTGCTCTAGATAGAAATAAGATGAAGAAATGGAAAGGCAGGTTGCCTGGTTGGCTTAGTTGATAAAGCATGCAATTTTTGATCTTGGGGTTATGAATTCAATCCACAGGTTGGTTGTAGACATTGCTTAAAAATAAAATCATTAAAAAAAAGAAATGGAAAGGTAACTATATATTCAAGGTCTGTATTTATGCATTTACAGGACATTTTGGGGGGAATGACTCATCCATTTGCTTCCTAGTAGAAATACCCCAGCAGCCTAGGATGGATGAAGAGATGAACAGGAGAAATGGCTCTATGCAAAATTGGGGGTGGGGTGAAAGGGATAGGATGGATTTGAGGTGATCCATTTGATAAAACAAGAGTTTAAATTGGTTTCTTACCCCACGGTACTGGCTTTCATTGAAAATCTGAGGTGGCAGAGGGTATCCTGTGGCTGGTCGATTGTTTTCAGGTACATTTTCTCTCATCCACTTCCGATTCTCTTCATTGGCTGCAATGTCTTTTTCTTCAAATCCTATTTTGTTAGCTTCTAAAAAACCAAGCACATCTTGCTGTTTCTTCTTAATCTAGAACCCAAAGGACAAAGAAACTATGTTGAACATACAGATTTTGTTTTTATTTTTCAATTTTTTTTATTATGTTATCATCCATGTCCTTGCAAATGTCAAGAAGGTTTTTTTTTTTTTTTGCTTTTTTATAGCTGAGTAATGTTCATTTATTTATAGAATCACACTTTTATCCATTTATCTAACTGTGCACTTGGGCTGCTTTCATAATTTGGCTATTGTATATAATGGTATAATAAACATGGGGTGCATGTATCCATTTGAATTAGTGTTTTTTTTGAATTAGTGTATTTTTGAAGTACTCAGTAGTGCAATTACCGGATCATAAGGTAGTTCTATTTATAAAATTTTGAGGAAACTCCACACTGTTTTCTGCAGGGGGTGCACATATTTGCATTCCTACCAATGCTACAAGAGAGTTTCCTTTTCTCCACACTCGTTTCTTGTGTTTTTCATTTTAGACAATCTGATAGGTGTGAAATGATATCTCGATGTATTTTTAAATTGTATTTCTCAGAGTTTCTGAGTGACTCGGTCAGTTAAAACTCTGTTTTTAGCTCTGGTCATGATCTCAGGGTCCGGGATCAAGGCCATCTGGCTCCCTGCATAGCAAGGAGTCTGCTTCTCCTTCTCCCTCTAACCCTTCCCCCTACTCATACACTCTTCTCTCTCTTTCTGTGTCGCTCTCCCTCTCTCTCTCTCAAATAAATAAAATCTTTTAAAAAATAAAATAAACTGTATTTTTCTGATGATAAGTAATGCGGAGCATTTTCTCACGTGTCTATTGGCCATCTATATATCTTTTATTTCAATTTTTAATTAATATATAGTTAAATATATATAAATATATTAGTTAATATATAGTGTAATATTGGTTTCAGGAGTAGAATTCATTGATTCATCATTTAACATATAACACCCAGTGTTTATTATAACAAGCGCCATCCTTAATACCCATCATCCATTTAGCCCATACCCTACCCACCTCCCTTCACCAACCCTCAGTTTGTTCTCTGTCCTTTAGAGTCTTTTATGGTTTGCTTCCCTCTCTTTCCCCCCCCCTTTCCATATATCCATTTTGTTTCCTAAGTTTCACATATAAGTGAAATCATAATTGTCTTTTTCTGACTGACTTATTTTCTTAACATGGTACTAGATTGATCCAGCTGAATCATTGCAAATGGCAGGATCTCATTCCTTTTGATGGCTGAGTAATATTCCATTATATATATACACACACACACCACATCTTCCTTATCCATTCATCAGTTAATGGACGCTAGGGCTTTCTCCATATTTCGGCTATTATTGAGAATGCTGATATAAACATCAGGTGCATGTACCCCTTGAAATCTGTATTTTTGTATCCTCTGGGTAAACACCTAGTAGAACAATTGCTGGATCATAGGGTACTTCTATTTTTAACTTTTTGAGAAAATTCCATAAAGTTTAACAGACTATTTTTTTTTAGATTTTTTTTATTTATTTATTTGACAGACAGAGATCACAAGTAGGCAGAGAGGCAGGCAGAGACAGAGGAGGAAGCAGGCTCCTTGCTGAGCGGAGAGCCTGATGTGGGGCTCGATCCCAAGACCCTGAGATCATGACCTGAGTCGAAGGCAGAGGCTTAACCCTCTGAGCCACCCAGGCGCCCCGAAACTTCCATAAAGTTTATAAAATAGCTGCACCAGTTTGCATTCCACCAGGAGTGAAAGAGGGTCCCCCTTTCTCTGCATCCTCGCTAAAATATGTTGTTTCCTGGGTTGTTTATTTTAGTCACTGTGACACGGGTGAGGTGGTATCTCATTGTGGTTTTGATTTATATTTCCCTGATGATGAGTGATGTTGAGCATCATTTCATGTATCTCTTTGCCATCTGGATGTTTTCATTGGAAAAATGACTATCTATGTCTTCTGCCCATTTTTAAAATAGATGATTTGTTTTTTGGATGTTGAACTTACTAAGTTCTTTATAGGTTTTTGGATACTAACCCTTTATTAGATATGTCACTAGCACATATCTTCTCCCATTTGGTAAGCTGCTTTTAGTTTTGTTGATTGTCTCCTTCACCATGTAGAAGCTTTTTATTTTGATGAAGTCCCAAGAGTTAATTTTTGTTTTTGTTTCCCTTGCCTCCAGTAACATGTCTAGTAAAAAGTTGCTATGGCCAATGTCAAAGAGGTTACTGTTCTCCTCTAGGATTTTGATGGCTTCCTATCTCTCATTTAGGTCTACCATTTTTTTTCTTTCAATATTCTATTTAAATTTGATTTAGTTCAGGGGCACCTGGTTGGTACAGTTGATTAAGCATCTGACTCTTGGTTTCGGCTCAGGTCATGATCTCAGGGTCATGAGATCAAGCCCTGCATCAGGCTCCACACTCAGCACAGAGTTGGTTTAAGACTCTCTCTCTCCCTTTGTCCCTCCTCACTGTGCACTCTCTCTCTCACACTCTCTCAGCAAAATAAATAAATACTTTAAAAAATGAATACAAGTTAGTTCACATATAGTGTAGTACTAGTTTCAGGGGCAGAATTTAATGATTGATCAGTTGCATATAACATCCAGTGCTCATTACTTCAAGCGCCATACTTAATGTCCATTATCCAATTACCCCATCCCCCCACCTATTTCCTCTCCTGCAACCCTCAGTTTGTTCCCCATATTTAAGGGTCTCTTATGCTTTGCCTCCCCATCTTTATCTTATTTTCTTTTCCTTCCTTCTCCCTATATTTATCTGTTTTGTTTCTTAAATTCCACATATGAGTGAAATCATATAGTATTTGCCTCTCTGACTGACTTATTTCACTTAGCATAATAAACTCTAGTTCCATCCATGCTGTTGTAAATGGCAAGATTCCATTCTTTTTGATGGCAGAATAATATTCCATAGTGTCTGTGTGTTTGTGTGTGTGTCTGTATCACTTCTTTATGCATTGATCAGTTGATGGACATCTCGGCATTTTCCAAGTTCTTGGCTATCGCAGATAGTGCTGCTATAAACATTGGGTTGCATGTGCCTCTTTGAATTTTTGTATCCTTTGGATAAGTACATAGTGCAATTGCTGGGTCATAGGGTAGTTCTATTTTTTTTAATTTTTTAATTATTTATTCATTTTTTTTATTTTTTACTTTTTAGGGAACTGTTTCACAGAGTGGCTGCCCCAGTTTGCCTTCCCACCAACAGTGTAAGACAGTTCTCCTTTCTCCACATACTTGCCAACATCTGTTGCTTCCTAAGTTGTTAATTTTAGCAATTCTGACTAATTTTAGTATGAGACAGTATCTCACTGTGGTTTTGATTTGTATTTCTCTGATCATGAGAGCAATATTAAGCATTTTTTCATGTCTGTTAGCCATTTGTATTTCTTCTTTGGAGAAATATCTGTTCATGTCTTCAGTCCAGTTATTAACTGATTTTTTTTTAATTTTTGGGGTGTTGAGTTTGTTAAGTTCTTTATAGATACTACCCTCTGATCTAATATATTGTTTGCAAATATCTTCTCCCATTCCATGGGTTGTCTTTTAGTTTTTTTTTTTTTTATTGTCTCTTTTCATGTGCAGAAGCTTTTCCATTTTGAATTTATTTTTGTGCCTGGTGTAAGAAAGTGGTACAGTTTCATTCTTCTGCATGTTACTATCCAGTTTTCCCAACACCATTTGTTGAAGAGACTGTCTTCTTTCCATTGGGTATTCTTTTCTGCTCTGTTGAAGATTAGTTGACCATATAGTTGTGGATCCATTCCTTGGTTTTCTACAGTGTTCCATTGGTTTATGTGTCTGTTTTTGTGCTGGTGTCATAATGCCTTGAAGACTACAACTTTGTAATATAGCTTAAAGTTCAGAATAATGGTTCCTCCAGCTTTGCTTTGCTTTTCCAGGATTGCTTTGACTATTTGGTGTCTTTTGTGGTTCCATACAAATATTAGGATTTTTTTTTTTTAGCTCTGTTAGAAATGCTGTTGGTACTCTGATAGGGATAGCATTAAATGTGCAGGTTGCTTTGGGTAAAGTAAACATTTTAACAATATTATCCCAACCCATGAGCATGGAATATTTTTTTTCCATTTCTTTGTGTCTTTCTCAATTTCTTTCATAAGTGTTCTATAGTTTTAAGATTACACATCTTTTATCTATCTGGTTAGGTTTATTCCTAGGTATCTTATTGTTTTTGACCCAATTATAAATGGGATCAATTTCTTTTTCTGCTGCTTCATTGTTGGTGTATAGATGGCAACAGAGATCTGTACATTGATTTTCTTTTTTTTTAAATGTGTAACATTACACAATTCCTGTATCTTTTCTAGAAAGTCTTTGGTAGAACTGTTTGGGTTTTCTATAGAGCATATCATGTCTTCTGCAAAGACTGAAAGTTTGGCTTCATTCTTGCTGATTTGGATGCCTTGTATTTCTTTTTATTGTCTAATTGCTGAAGCTAAGACTTCTAGTACTATGTTGAATAGTAATGGTGAGAGTAGACATCCCTGTCTTGTTTCCGACCATAGAGGAAAACCTCCCAGTTTTCCCCCATTGGGTATGATATTAGCTGTGGGTCTTTTGCATATGGCCTTTATGATTGAGTTATGTTCCATCTATAACTGTTCTTTTGAGGGTTTTTATCAAGAATGGATGCTGTATGTGGCCAAACGCTTTTTCTGCATCTATTGTGATGATCATATATGGTTCTTATCCTTTCTTTTATTAATGTGGTGTATTGCATTGATTGATTTACAAACATTGAACCATCCTTGCAGCCCAGGAATAAATCTGACTTGATTATGATATATGATAATTCTCTTCATATACAGTTAGATTCCATTTGCTCATATCTTGTTAAGAATTTTTTTTTTTCATTCATGTTCATCAGGGTATTGTTCTGTCATTCTCCCTTTTAGTGGGGTCTTTGGGTTTGGAACCAAGGTAATGCTGGCTTCATAGAATGAGTTTGGAAGTTTTCCTCCCATTTCTATTATTTGGAATATTTTGAGAAGAATAGTTA